TGGACCAACCCTCAGTATAGAGCCAAACCTGGCCAAGTCCAGCCCAGATCAGCTGAACTCCAACCAATCTTCAGACACATGAACAAGAAATGAATATTGATTATTGTATGCTACTGAGTTTGGGGGTTTTTGTTATGCAAAATAACAAACTAATACACATACAAATGAAAACTCATATTTTAGTAGATTATAAATTATCTTGACATATCCGATGCTCAGCTGTGATATTAAAACCTTTATTACAATAAAAAATCACAGGTATCTATTCCTTTTAATAGCTTATATTCATTTAATGCCTTAAAGCTTACAAAGTGCCCTCATATCCATTACTCTATTAGGTATTTTTAACAATGTAGTGGTGAGGTGAGGTCAGTATTACTAGCTCCATTGAGAGACAAGGATATTGATTCAGAAGGAAGTCAAGGTTTCACCTACCAGACATAAAAAACATTCTTTTCTGCCATGGGCCATTTGGATATTTATAACATCATCTGAGGGCCATACAAAATTATCAACTTAAAAATTAGCCTGCTGTATTTGGTCAGGCTAATTTGGTGAGGAGTGTGATGTTAGCTGGTATTGATTTTGCGGGCCTTCTATAGCCTACGGGCGGATGTTCCTCAGTCCTGGAAGGGCACAAAGCTAGTTCTTATTTCCAGATCAGAGCTGGGACTCCACCAGGTCTCCTTATTCCTCCTACAGGGCTCCTCCCACCATGCTATGGATGCCCCTAGAACACCCACACAAGTGTGGACACATTGCAGTCCCAGTAAACACCTGAGGAATGACAGAGGGATTAAATCTTTTGAGCAGAGGTGTAAAGGTAAAGTCAAAGCTCCCAGGACATGTTTCACCAGAGGTTCTCTCCACATAGCCTCTTTTAATGCTTCCTAAAATGTGTGTTAATAGGAGTGGGGAGGGGTGGTGCAGAAGGATGGAGGTGGTCAAGATTAGATGCTATTTGATATGTTTTAGAATTTCTGGTTTAGCAAATTATATATTTTTACTGCAGTGCTTTTAAGTAAGTCTGAAGGGCTTATTTGATGACTTTCTAGGTGAGAAATTGTATAATGCATTTCTCTAACTTTTCTGACCATGGAGCCTTTTCATCAAGAATCATCTTGCTGGATCAGGGCTCCATGGAACCCATTTTGGGAAAAACCAGCCTAGGCATTGAACTACCTGGCTCTGCCCTTTGACATTTTCCTTTTGCACCATACAGAGCTGTTTGTGCACAGGCACCCTCTTAGCCCTTTAGCTCTTGTTAGTAACTCAGTTCTAATTCCAAGAAGCTTTTAACTTAATGGGATGATAACTGGTTTATTAATTACGGTTCCTTTGTCGCAAACACGAAAAGCAACTCTGGCTAACTTCCTTAAAAATATTAGGAAAACTTATAGAATTATAAGAGTTGCCAAACAATTAGGATTTTAAAAGTACAGTTTTGGGGACCTCAGCCTTGTGAGTCCTGGAGCTGCTGCAGAGATGTCTCTGTCTGCATCACTCTGCTCAGGTTTCAGGGTCCTGGGAAAATCTGACTTAGACCAGATGTCTGCCCAGAATCATTCAGCCACGGGAGATAGAACAGACGGTGCTACAGAGGAAACCGCTGTGATTTGGGCAGCTACCCTGAATGTCTCCCACATTTGGTATGCAGTAGAGTTGCATCTTTTATGGGGGTTGGTTTGATGTTGGTACACATGGCCTTGGAAAGTCCATATACTCTAGGCATGGAAGACATTCCTGTTTTTTCTTGTGATTACCAAATAAAGACGCTTTGAGACCATACTATAAAAAAATATTCTAATTTCAAGCACTGAAACTCACACTTGGTCTGGAGAAGCTCTTTTGCAGTTAGAGTAGCCACTGAAACTAATAAACAATGGCTAAGGGTAAGCAGAATTGTGGGTGGACTTGCCCACACTTTCTGAATCCTCTCTACCTCCCTCCTCTTTGGCCAGATGCAGGCAGTTGAATTCATAGAGTTCAATGTTTATATGATGCAACTCCTCTGTGCACAGAGACAGATGAATCCAGCACCCCCAAACAAACCTTAGAGAAACTGAGGTTAATATACTCCTTGCTCATTACTTACAAAATAGATAAGGTCATCAAGCATGGTATCCTGAGGAAGACAAGAGCTTTGGGGATGCATTTTTTTTTGGTACTGATTCAAAAACATTCTAAACTACTTTTTAAACAAGTCAAACAAAGATTTTCTTCTGTCTTCTGAAATTTTAAATTCACAAACAAATTAGACATTACAGGAAAGAAACCTCCGATGGCACCACCACCTACCTACCACTGCTACACTGTGGGGCTTCACTTGAATATACTTTGCTTTTATTGCTGTGTTCTATTTCCTCACTGTGATTTACAAAACAGTGTGGGAAAATGGTTAATATAAAATAAAAGTTAAAATTAAAACCACTTTTTCCACTATGGTGCTGTCTCCTTCCCACCCCCTTATCCCTGGGGGCCTATTTAACTGAGTCTAGTAGCACAAAGGCTACTGAGTTCTATAACTGAATTCATAATCTACTTAAAATGGATTGATTTCCTAGCTCTAGGACAAGGTAAATAATTTGTTGAGTATGGTTGATAATATGGAGGGAACTGATAAATAATGGAACAAGCTCATTTTAAGATGCCTTAGAACTCTCGAAATTTGTGGCATTTATTGAACTATTCGTTTACTCAAGTAACTTTATGTTTGGAGGTGAACCTGCTTATGGGCTCAAATAGTTCCCAAAGGGGAAAAAAAACAAAAATAAAAAACCTTACCGTTCACAGCTCTGTGACATTAAACTTGTTAGATTGGCAGGGACAACTTCTCTTATTTCTCTCTGTCCGTCTGAAGGATGGCACCTAAATTGTTTCTCCCTGAGGAGATGGACCTCGTCGGAGTGACATCCCTCACCCCAACCAGTGGCCCAGCCCAGGCTCTTACAATCACTCAAGTCTTGAACACTTACTATGTGCTGAGCACAATGTTGGCCACTTTTGCACCCATTTTTTGTCTAACTTGCACATCATTTTACAGAACATGTTAAAATTTCATATTACATATGAAAATATTGAGCTCACAATGATTAAGAATCTTTTCTTGGTCAGACAGTTCTACTGCCAATCATCATCATCATCATCATCATCGTCCAGTCAACAGAAATGAAGGTTCACTCAGCATATAGGGTAAATGTAAAAAACTAAACTGGTACCCACGAGATACATATGTCAAATGCAGTAACAACAGTGTGTCCGAGGTATGGTGCTAGGTTTACTTTAATGACCACATCAAGGCTATAGAGTCGGGAATACAGTGAACTCTATTTTAGAGGTGGGAAAATGGGGGCCTAAAGGCAGTTAAGAAAATTACCGGTAACTGAGTATTTCCTGGTAACCCCTGCAGGCTTATGTAATAAAGCAGATATTGGTGCAGAGGACATGAAGGTGTCAGGACAGCTTCAGGCTGTAGGTAATGATAGTGAAGGCTCCAGGTGGGACAAAGAGCCTTCCTCTTAAGCAAGCAAGTATATAGTCTGTCACACCGCAGCCCAAGTGTTTGGGGACCTAAGTAAAAAGTTATCTCTGAGTCACAACTCTAGAAGTCAAGGGGGAGAGGCTGCCTGGTTAGCATCAGGTGAACGAGGTACACCTGCTTCTCTGCCCTGCAGGCACAGGGCACTTGGCTAGGGCCTTCTAGTGCCCACCACATGACAGTATCTTCATGGGGAAGTTGGGCTCCAAGGAGTGTTTGAGGATGAATCAGTCACCATTACACCTGACCTTCTTCTCCATCACTACCTTGTGGCAAACTGAATGATTCTATTTTTAAGTCAAACTGTACATTGAGTATCTCTGTGAAACATAAGCTGTGTTGCAGTTTTAAAGGGAACAAAACCTTACACTAAAGGAATAAACTTCAATGAGTCAGTTAGCAGAGTGGCAGGGATTGGGGAAAGGGACAGTGGGATTTGGATAGCAATGGCTCTCCAAAGTGCTGGAAAATACTGACCAGACAGATAACATGATAGGATACCCAATATTCTTGGGGGATGGGAGAGGTTGATAAATGAGAGTAGTTGGGAGTAGAGGTAAAATTATGTAGATCACAGGTTGATAATTGATGAACCTCTGTGATGAATGTGTTGGAGGTTCATTATAGTCTTCCAGTTTATGTATGTCTGAAATTGTCCCTAATAAATTAAAAAATAAAATAGTGTGGATAGTCTAGTCTTCTATTCCAAAGGAAATTTCATCCCACTAGAAATATGTGACCAGGGGGATGGCTGGATTTTTTTGCACAAAGCTGTGGGTACCTATATCAAAACAATCTCCAAGTCTTGTCCCTTTAAACTCCAAAATTTATCTCAATCCTGTCCACTTCTCTCCATCTGCACTGCCTCTACCCTCATCCTGGCCACCACCAGCATCCTTGTTTAGACACCACAGTGGCCTCCCAACTCCCAGCAGGAATATCTATTTCCAATCTTTTCTCCCTATAGGAGATGAGTGTTTTTTTTTCAAAATGCTAACTGAAATTCTCATGAGGAAAAAGCGAGATGCAGAACAGTATACAGAACTTTGTGTAAGAAAGGGGAGACCACATACACACTCCCACATATGTACAGGCAATTTGCTTGTATTTGCAAAGGGAAACTCTGGAAAGTTTGGAGGACGAACCGTGGAGGACATGGGCTGCGGCAGAACTCCTCCGAATGTGTCCTCTTATAAATCTTGACTTTGGAAATAAAAAATAACATCATGTAAAAGTAAAATTATTATCTGTATATATGCATAACCAATGGACACAGACAACAGTGTGGTGAAGGCAGTGGGGGATAGGAGCAGGGAGGACGGTGTCAATGGGGGAAAAAGAAGGGACATCTGTAATACTTTCAACAATAAAGATAACTTTTTTTAAAAAAGTAAAATTAAATAATAGAGTTCTAAAAATTGAAACCAAGTTGAAATTAAAAACACAACAACAACAACACACAGCTGGTGCTCACTTTGGCATATATTAAGACAGGACTGATACAGAGAAGGCAGCATGGCCCCTGTGCAAGGGTGACAGCACATTTGTCATATTTCGTATAGTTTTGTACACCTGAAACTTAAATAGTGTTATAAACCAATGTTATCCTAATAAATTTAATTTTTAAAAAAACTGTTCCTTAAATTGGTAGCATTAACCACACCAAGAAAATAATCATTTCAAGTAACTTTCATAAAAAGTATTTTGACTTTATATTCTGGTGGAATATATTTAAGAATCAAAAACAGTTGCAAATAAATATTAGACTTTATTCAGTAAACTTATTGTTAGTATTAGGTTGAGTCATATTAAATTACCAAATATAATAATATATTATTATATAAATATAGCAATATTATTTTATATTATAAATATAGCATAATAAGTTTATAAATAATATCATTCAGGTAAATATATTATCAATTATAGAAATAGTGGTTTTGTTTTGGAAATAGTATATATTATAGGATAAAGCAAATAAGTAATCATGTTAATGTTGTTAGGACAAAGATTTGCAGCAAAATAAAATAACACTATTATAATAGAAGTTAATAAAGAGCTTGATTTAAAAAAATTAAATATAACTGACATCTAACACTGTATAAGTTTGAGGTGTACAGCATGTTGCTTGATACATTTATAGAATGCAATATGATTACTATAGTAGTGCTATTTAACACCTTTATTATGGCACATAATTATCATTTTTTGTGTGTGTGTCGAGAACAATAAAGATCTAATTTCTTAGCAACCTTGAAGTTTATAATACAGTATCATTGACTTTAATCACTATGCTGTAGATTAGATCTCCAGAACTTATTTATCTACTTGTTGCAAGTTTGTACCCTTAAACAACATCTCCTTAATCCCCCCACCCCCAGCCCCTGGTAACCACCATTCAACTCTGTTTTCACAAGTTCAGCTTCTTGGGTTCCACAGATAAATGATATCACAGTATTTGTCTTTCTCTATCTCACTTACCTCACTGAGCCTATGCCCTCAAATTGAATTGCAAATATCAATGTGGACTCATGATTCTTTTTCAAAAATACTTATTTCCTAAGTGTCCACTAAAAAAAGGCCTAGAAGCAACAGCAATCTAGGGACAACGAGTAAGCCTAGGACCCAGACTATGACCTCTAAATACCTTCCCACTAAAAGGAAGCAGAGATCCTTGTAGAAATGGCAGAAATGGACAAATGGAGATAGGGATGTGTTATTGTAAGGAAAGCTAAGAAAAAATTGACAGATGAAGCAAATGTGGCAACATCCAGATAATTGTGGAATCGGAGTCTTATGTATATGAAAGTATAGTATGTACTTTGCTTTGTGTATATTTAAAGTTTTTAAAATAAAAATATTTAAAAAATAGAATCTCAAGTATAAAAAAATTGAATCTAATTACATCACTGCTTAATATTACTCAGCAATTAAAAAGAACAAAATCCTACCGTTTGTAACAGTATGAATGGACCTAGAAGTTATTATGCTAAGTGAAATAAGTCAGTCAGAGAAAGACAGATATCGCATGATTTCACTTATATGTGGAATCTAAAGAACAATATAAAGGAAAAAACAAACAGAAACAGACTCATAGATACAGACACAGAAAACAGACTGATGGTTGCCAGAGGGGAGAGATTTGGGGGACTGGGTACAAAGGGTGGAGGGATTGAGAAGTATGGATAGACAGTTACAAAATAGTCAAGAGGATGTAAAGCACAGCATAGGAAATCTAGTCCTTAACATTGTAATAACTATGTATGGTGCCCGTTGGGTACTGGAAATATCAGGGGAACACTCTGTAAAGTATATGATTATCTAACCACTATGCTGTACTACAGAAACTAATACAAAATAATAGTGAATGTGAACTGTAATTAAAATAAAAAAGTTAAAAACAACAACAACAACAAAAATCTTTCAGCTTCCCATTACCCGGCGGGTAAAGTCTGAACTCATTCCAAAGCTCTTCAGGTTCAGCATCTGTTCATCATCATCATCTGTTTCTTCACTGGTAACACTTGTATTGAGCTCTTACCATGGGCCAGGGACTGGGTTAAACCTTTTGCCTGTTTTATTGTTTTTATAGCACAACAACCAGAGTTATTTGTCATCTGCTTTTTTTTTCAAATATGAAACTGAAGTATGGAAAATTTGAACAACTAGTCCAAGTCTTATAGCTGGTAAAATGGGAAATTGGGATTTAACCCAGGTAGGCTGACTCCATCACCCATGCCATTAACCCCTTGATTTTATGGCTACTTGTTATTTCATTCTTGTATGCCCACAGTAGGTACTCAGTAATTTTTATTAAATGGGTGCTGATAACTAGGTTTCCATCAGTTTTCTATAGTTTCCTTCTTATCAACTCTCTTGTAAATAGTCATTTTCTCGTTGATATTCTAATGCTATCAGAATGACTCATAAGTACTTGCTAAAAAGGTTTATTACAAACACAGAGGAAATATGCCCAGCCAAGTCTACTCCTCAACATGGCCTTTCTTATGACTACTCTGGGTTCACCCAATGATTATGCTCTCATCACACTATAGTATATTCTTTATTTACATATTTACCTCTTGACTAGTCTATGAGATCTGAGATGTCAGGGACTGTATCTCATGTATTTATTTCAACCTCCAGTATCTAACACTGACTGGAATGCACTGGGTGTGCTATTAAGTTTATCAAATGGATCAGTGCAAAGAGCTATTGAAGAACTCCTTAAACCTAACTCAGATATTGTTTCTGCAAAAAATTTCCTGCGCCATTATTGAATCTTCCATATACATTTATAATTTCACTTATATTGCACCATACTTTATTTATTTATTTTTTGTTTGTTTGTCTCCCCAACCAGACTATGAGCTTTGCCCAGCTGGGATAGAGCTTTAGCGTCTCTGTCTTACTAACATCCAGCAACATACCTTGTCCAGACAAGGGCTCAAGACATTTTTGTTCAAATGCAGAACTTTCCAAATTATCAAAATGTACAACTACTTATATTCATATACTGCCTTGGCAGATATTACAAATAAAGGAATATGTTACACTCTGGGCCTTAAGAAAAGATTTCTAGTGTGACTGCTGGTGTGCCTTAGGAAATGTGAACCTTCCTTAATAGAATAATACTATTATCAGCATTTCAAGTCTTCTGTCACTTTCTGTTACATGCCTTTGAGACATAGCTAGTCATTGTCGCTTTGTATTAATGTTGCCTCCTTTCTGCTCAGGTTGCAGTATGACACATGGTGGTTAATTTATTTGTCATTTGTTGAAATATTCCTGCACCGGAAGTTTGATTATTGTAACTGGGGCGGTAAAGTTGGAGAAGGAATAAGGCAAACGAATGTGGTGTTGTGGGAAGGCTGGCAGCCTGCATTTCCCTTCATAACTTCAGACAAGCCATTTCAATCCTCTGGGCCTCAGTTTTCTCATCTGTAAAATTAGATCTCATCAGACAGTCCCAGAAGCCTCTTCTGTATCCCAGAATCTATGATAGCTCTACCTAAAAAAAAAATCAAAGAAAAGACAATAATAGGCTTCTGCAGAAGTGGTATCTGTTTGACCAAGGGATCACCCCACTGTAAGAGGGGAAACAAGAAAAAAGCTGTTATCTGGCTGGCCCAGGACCTGATGTTGCAATTTATCTTCCTAACTCAGGTAGGTTGGAGAGTCTGGAGTGATGATTTACAGCATTCTAACCTGTGCAAAATAGCATACACAACGGGATAAATAAAAAAACAGGGACAGTATAGGAAGAATGGGCAACCTAAGTTTGGACCATCGCACCCCTATCCCTGCTGCAACCACCGTGTTACCCCAGAATTCAAGGTCAACAAATCTGTAGCCGTCAGGCCTCTCACTCCTGACTGTTGCTCATGACAGATATTGCTAATTGATTACAGCACTATTTTTTTCTAAAGCTAGACTGGGACTATTTCTCAATACAGTGCTGCTGCAAACACTAACAACAGATTGAAGTTGGCATGTTAACTGAAATCTATTTGTCATCCTGCGCTCGAATTTCCTCCTGATTCCATTAGAGAAAAGTACTAAAACAATGTTTGTAATTTAAACTAGATAAGGGACCTTGGACAAGTTTCATAATTTGGGTGCTGATTTGTAAAATGAGAATTCAAGTATTCCATGTGTTTTGGATTCTAGAATTCCTATCCCCTTTTGGGAAACAGGGGCATCTCTGTGAGCCTGCTATCCCAAAGCTCTGGCTTCTTCATGACGAATGAGGATGTAAGCAACCTGGAGTGTAACGAGACACAATACAATGAACACTAGGTGTCCACACAACCACAAGGGCCATGAGGTATCTTTTGTTAACCCTCCCCAACTTCCAGACAAGCTCTCTGGGGTCAGAACAACCAGATTAGGTTGAGGTGGAGCTTGGCTGACAGTGTCAACGAAAGCCCACAGGGCTGGCATCTGTTAAGCAGTCATTACCAGCATCTTCCTTGGCAAGAAACTACTTTTTCTTGTCTTGTTTCAGGCTTAAATTGCTTTTATTTGTCCTGGAGACTAGATCAATAATCTCAATCTCTCACTCTCCCTCTTTGCCAGTAGATCTGGGATAAATAATTTTATAGAGCGAAAGGAAAGTAGGGCAAGTGGCAGGGTAGCAGAGGGTAGAAAAGGAGGTATTTGAGAATGCTACTAGAAGGAATAGTGGGTAATATTTATTGAGTATTTTCTGTGTCAAGCACGTTGTTGTCACATTTAATCTTGACACACTATCAGATATTCACTATTATTAAGCTACATTTTACAGATGAAAATGTTTAGGCCCAGGGTGTTAATTTTTCCAGGGTCCTACAGTGAGTTTGTAGTAGGGGAAAACCTGAGTCATGTCTCTAACTTCTTCCACCACACCGCAGTGCCTCTCCCAATCCAACACTGAAGGACTTTCCTGCAGTTTCCATGATCGGGGAGTTGTCCCTCTCCATCTATTGAGTCTGCTTTTGCTCTGTTTTTAGGCAATTATCTCTTCAGGGTGGCAAGATGGCTGCCATCAGCACCAGGATTAGATCCTGTGCCTTCAGGAACCTGAC